GAGGTTTGTGACTCACAGCACCGTTTACATGCATAAAAGAGCTACATTAACACACACAGGGGACGGTAACTAACCGAAAGCATGACCTGGGAAACCTTTAAACTAAAAGATTATAGCTCTTGTCTTCTTGAATGCTGAACATTGTCCTGACATGTTGCCTAGACAGTAGTTGTGTCTCTAAATGTGTGGAATGCACGCGAAGATGTAACGTACACAGTCAAGTACGCACCTGAGATTCGTTGTAGTTTTCAGGCGGCAGTTTTTAAGTATAACTCTGAACCTGGCTCTAGCTTCTCTGGCAACGCTTTTTTTCCCTTGTGAAGAGCAAAACATAAATCCTCCAGAGAAACTGACTTAGCGCGACAGCTGAACAATATATTTACAAAAGCGTAGAATGAATATCACAGCCGCGCTGCTGGCTTTAAACCAGTCGTTCGCTAAGATGTTCAGCAGGATCATGTAGAGGCTCGGGAAGTTGCTCGCCAGGTAAAAAACAAAATATACAACCCTGTCACAGTAACAGCATAAATAATTGCATTTCTAAACAACGAGCACGTTGCGATAATTACTGTCCATGTTGTGTCCAATAATGAATACCAACGATAGTCAATATAGGTTATGGTCCCAGGCTCATAGAGGTCCTGTTGTGACCCGGAAATGTTGATTAACCAAAAGTTTTAGAATAGAAGCTCTACAAGGCGTACGGGTCCTCAGCACCTATGAAATCTCCCGGATGCTGAACTTTAAAACCCCCCTCGTATCCCGTAAGCCGCAGCGCTGTGATGTGTTGGGGCAATTTGGCTACATTTAGCCACATGAGTTGAAATAATTAGTCATTATAGCGGTTCTGTGTACGCACAGATTAGTTAAAAATGGCTTGGTTGGTTCGAACTTACGACAATTTGGAGTTCGGTTCTGGGGGTTGTTTGGGGATTCTGAAATGTTAGGGATAAAATAATTTCCAGTTTGTATGCTAATCGTGGCAATCTGCCCAACATCTCAGGCCCCCAATGTGATGTTAATCACTGGGTTCCTGCTATAATTCTATTCTTAAATAAAACGCTTTGGTACTCCGGGTTCACTGTGCTTGGCAGGTAATACTAATATTTGTCATTTGGTTGCCTGTTTTCTCTTTAATATTCGTGGTAATAAGTGGCGACCCGCACACACGATGAAACCTGATCTAAAGTATTCCAGCTACAGGAAATATTCTCGTTACATTCACTGGAAGCGGCACCGCGTCCAGTATTGAGTGAACAGAAGAGGAACTGTGCAGAAAGCAAATGATAATCACGTTGACTGAACACAACGAGGAAGAGTTGAAATGAGGGAACAGAGCGAGCGGGGCTAGAACCTACCGGCCCACAGCGTGAGGGTCCGATGCTGAACTCGCTGTAGGTCACCGCTTCGCTGGTCCAAACACATCTTCAGCCTCTTCACTCACCGAGGCACGCCGCCGCGAGACCGAAACAGACCCTGAGGGACGAGAGAAAGACCGAGAGGATTAAATGTTTAAAGCTTGGAGCAGGAGCAACCGTGCAGAGCAAAAACACTACCCCGAAACGCCTCAATTGGAAATCCTTTTTTTACTGCTCGGGGACATCCACTATAATGAATATATAATAATAATTATTACATACATTATTACATATTATCACCATATCAGACATGTAACACAGTGAAGACAACACTTGTGCTTCTATTGGCTAGTGCTCCAACACATTGTACGTGATAGGCTAAGGGGCGGGACATCTCTAAGCGGTTGACCAATCACTACAGAGCCGGCCAGCTAACCAATCAGAGCAGACTGGGCTCTGGTTTCAGACAGAGGGTGAAAAGAGGAGCTGCAGCACATTATCCCGCTTATTACACGGCCACATTCTCAACAAAGTAACGACATGACTCCCAATATTAATTGAAATGCTTTTATAAATTTGAAACATATTTTTATTGATTTAAAAAATAGTATTATTGATTTAAAATGACATGCATCCGCAAAGAAAAATAGTCCGTTGTTACCGTTTGAACTACGTAGCAACGGCAGGAACTGCTTCGATAGTGTTTTTGCGGAGCTTTTTGATTACAGATTTGAAAACATTGTTGCTTGCTTTAAAAGTAGCACAATTCATTATGTCAAACCTTGGAAAGTATCTAGATATCCCTGCCCTAATGCCAAAGGAACTGCACACTGAATATGTGTCGCCGTTTGATGTCTATGTCTGGACCGCTGCGTAGAAAGAGCCGCAGCTCCGTGTTGAGGGTTCCTGCCCCGTTACTTCTCCGCTGTTTTCTTGTCCCTCTTGTCTTTTCTTTTCTTCGTTGGGGACTCATCAGCCACTAACCATTCATCCAAATGACTGTGCTCTCCAAATATATTAATATTAAAATCCTCCATGTTGCTCTCAGACGGTAGACAACGGAAAACCAAAGACAAGCAAACAGTTTGAAAAGCCAAACTGTATACAGATAAATCGACCGGACTTCTTTCTGCTGATGTGAGCGTCCTTAACAACGGTCAATAAATCCTTGACAGCGGTCTGTACTACTGGATTAACAACGTGTCACGTGTTCTGAATTGACCAATCAGCATCGAGCATTCAACTAAGCCATGTAATAAATACTGATATGACCCTCAACATGAGTATTATAGGACCCTTTAAACTAAAGTCCCGTGCTATCAGAAGTCCTACCTCCTCAGTCATGCCTGTTCTCAGCAACATGTGGATACACTCCTCGATTGGAACAGCGATTTCTCTGTTGCTCTCAGACAGATGAGAGAGAAGAGGCTCGCCGTACACCTTCTGATTGGAGAGGCTCAGCTGTGACCCTGAACAATGAGATGAACACACAGAGGAAATAAGAACACACGTAGAAATACTGCAGTGACAGCGCAGAAAATAAAGTGATACAATCTACCTTTTTGACTGTGGTTCTCTTTGAGCTCGCTGATGTTTTTGTCCAGGAACTCGTGGGAGTGTTTGTGATACTCGGCCTGCAGCTCCAGAAGCTAAAACCAGAGAAGTTGTATTTAGTTTGATCGCTTAAAGAGAAAAATAATAAGTCAAATCTGCAACTCACGCGGATGAAGTAGTTAGCGTAGTCGTCTTCTTTGGTTGCAAAGTGATACAGATCTGCAGAGTACTCATCCTGCAGAGACAGATAGAGGTGAAAAGGGTAAAGATATGTCACGGTGAAACCTCAAATGGTTATTACTTAGATCTATTTTTGTGTTACATGTGAGGGAAATCCGTTTTATTTAGCTGACATATTTAGCTTGTTTGCAGAAAGAATTATGGGTATGAGTGTGAGAAAAAAGCCTTTAAAGATACGTATTGTAAAATTCATACATTTAAAAAGACCCTACAGGTGAATAGGATAACAATAATAACTAATAGATATCATCATGAAACTTCCTCATTTTGATCACAGTCAATAAGACCATTTTTTTTGTATTACAAGTTTTCTTAGATGTTATGTTTAAATATTCAAATTAGGAATTATCTTATGCTACTTTCTGGTGAATTTAGGAGAAACTTACAGATGAAAATGGATCAAATGGTTATAATAATCACCTGATTCTGTCTTTTGGATCTTTTCTTGCCACATATTTGAAAGAAAACTCCCAAAATGTGACAAGTGCATAAAGAAAACATATTTTTTCTCGTAGTGTTTCCTTAAAGGTCCCATGTCATGCTTTTCTGGTTATTCCCCCGTCCCCTTGTGTGTTATGTAGCTTTGTATGCATGTAAACGGTCTGCAGAGTCACAAACCCTAAAAGTACACCCTGTAGCGAGTACAACTCTAACGGCCCGTCCACACGGCGGCGTGCGCTGAAGCTTCAACGCTTCTGCCCATTCACTTTGAATGGGGTGACGTCACGCTTTGCCGAACTGCATTGTGGGAGCGTTGCTTCGCTTTGCTCGCTTCAAAAGTTGAGCAATGTTCAACTTTTGAAGCTTCAGCGGAAGCGTCAGCCAATCAAATCATATGCCAGTACAAGCTCTAGCCAATCAAACCGCTGCTTGTGTGTCCGGGGCGGGAGATTCATGTGATTGGTTGTTGGTCGAGTTTCAGACAAGCTCACCGGCAAGCTTCAACGCACGCCTCCGTGTAGACGCTGCGTAACACAGAGAAGACCTGTCTATGCTGCCCCAGAACGCCTCGTTGGAGATTTCTCTTTTTCCATTGTTTACTTCTTGGGTATAGTGACGTATTTCGGGTATAGTGACGTAACGTAAGATTGGTCCAAATGGACCAATCTGCGGAGCCGTTACGTTTGGACCAATCCGTGGACTTCCTCACACACACACACACACACTCGGCGGGATGTTGCGAGGCTCGCTGCTGCGAGGAGCGGGACACTGTGAGCTGGCTCACTCGGCGAGACACCGCAGAACTCAGCCCGGGCACACACGCAAACTCCCAGCCAGGCTGCGGGTGTGTGTGTGTGTGTGTGTTTCGGGCTGGGTTTCGCTGTCTCGCAGACGGCCCACTGAGCTCACCAACGGAGGGGGCAGCGAGCCCTCGCAACAAGCCAGTTTAGGAGCAGAGAGTAATACACATTACTATACAGAGATGCTGTAATGAGAAACCAATGAGAGTTTGGAAAAAATTGCACAATATACATCTAATTCTGGTAAGATCCTCAAAGC